TCACGCATCCCAAAGTAATACTATTTACATTATACTCTTTAGCTGCTCGTAAATTATTTTTGAATAGATAAGCATGGCCCTTGCCCGGCACTCCACATTTTATTAATAGTCTTTACCGGCCACCCAGAAAAACAGGAGACATAATAAAATACCGTTTCCCGAAAATACAATCAGCAGATTGCCAGAAACAAGTGCAGTTTGTTCTGGGAGAGATTTACGACTGGCCCATGAGGGTAAATATAAAGATTTATTCCCGGAAAGGTGGATGGTATTCACTTTAAAATTTATACGTGCCTCGTGTGAAATATTTTTGTCTGTCTTACCTTCTCTGCAATCTCAACAAACCCGCATTTTATGAGATGCTATCGATTTTGCATCGGTTGTCCGTAAAGCAGGGGCTGAGGCCGATATACCGAGTGTTTCAAACTTGGCACGTACCAAAGGAATGCAAATTTATTTAACACCTACAACATGCCAATATAGAGTATAGAGCCCATCTAAAGAATTTGAGTAAAGTTTCAGTTTTTATTTGCCATGCATGAGGCAAGTATTGTGTTCGGAAAATATAGATGTTTTTTATTTTTCACTGTGCCACGAAAAGTCAGCATTCCTGTCGTTTTGTCTGTCTGTTAGCGTTTTTCAGCCATGTAATCTTAGAAATACCTGTACTAATTCAGGTAAAATTTGACAGTCGCAATAATCCTATAGTCAACGCCAAACAAAGTGGCGTGCACGTCATCAAGGTGGGTGTGTTGAAAAATTTACATTGTTGCCAAACTTTTTGTAAAATAATAAAATTTATTATTTACATATCTAGGTTTACAAGCAATATTAACCTCAAATGAGAACAAAAATAATAGTATAATAAAATTATAGATCTGTACTTGCATAATCATTAAGTATGACAATTATTGATCAGATGACACTATGAAACTACCATATTTAATTGATAGCTTAAAGGTACTGAATAAAAATCCAAATGGGGTCCTCCAAATTTTATGCATGGTATTTATTTTACAGAATTCATACAGAAAAATGCATTCTAAAATTAGGTAAGCTACTGGTGTAAGCTTTTTCTGTACAATAAAGTTAGTCGGAGTTTCTTTCTTCAGCGCTGTCTGAATCTGAATCTTCATCACTCTCAAAGTTGATTATTAAAGGTTCGATGTCTGGTCGATCAAAAATTCGTTCTCTTTCATACCATTTAAAAATTTCTTGCTCAGTATGTCGAACACTATTTTTCCACATGTCTGGGGTAACCGTTTGTAGAGCCTCGTTCCACATATCCAAACAGTCTTTTTCACTGTTACCATCTCTACCAATATGTCTGTTATAGTAACCTTTTGCTATGCCCCAAATTAACTCAATAGGGTTAAATATACAATGGTAAGGAGGCAGACGAAGAACTTTGTGCCCATGTTGTTCCGCGAATTCATCAATCACGTATATTTTAGGTGGTTTGTTTCTAAAAAAGCAGTTATTTTAAGAATAGGAATAAACAAAAGAAATATAAACTGTCGACCAAAATATATATAATTAAGAAGCATTATGTACCGAGCAACAATACTCAATAGCTCTGTTTTAAACATTGTGTTTAAAAATGGTATGTTTTGATTTGTCAACCAGTCTTGGATATTTTTTTTTCCATGCATTGTTGGGCACTTTGTTCAATATCATGCTGTGATAAGGGGCGTTATCCAGTATAATCATAGATGGACTCTCCAATTTTTCTAATAACTGATGTTGAAACCATTTCAAAAAATTGTCCTGGTTCATCTCTCCATGGTAATCGCTCAATTTTGTTTTCGAAGAAAATATCGCTTCACTACCCTCAATAAACCCATTTTCATTTCCAGCATGTAATATAATGTATCTAAAATATATTAGTTTTAAATTTTATAGTGCAAATTGTATACGTATAAAAGTACATACCTTTTACCATCTGTTTTAATAGCTTTCACGCTTTTTTGGTTTCCATTTTGCCAAGAGCGACCTATGGTCCCATTTTGAAATATCCAAGTTTCATCGAGGAAGACAAACTGGTATAAGGCCTCAACCTTGGCTTGATTGTATTGCCTTAGAAATTCCACCCTTTTCAAAGTTATACTTGGTAGTTCCATGAGCCCTCGTCGCGGATTGTCCTTAAGCCACTTAAATCCAAGATCTCTAAGCAACCGCCTTAAAGACGTGGCACTACCATCAAATAATGCCCTATCTCTTAATCGAGACCATAAAGTTTGTATCGTAACTTGTTCTTCTGAAACCATGTGTAATATGACATTATAATTTAGTTAACAAATTAATGCAAATTTCTGATAAGTTATTATAATAAGATCTTACTTTTGTGATACATATTATAGATCACTTCTCGAATGGCACTTGTATCCAATGTCGCTGTGTTGGTTACACGTTTAATATAACTCCGCTTTTTCTTGGGCGATTCTAAATTTGCATCACTTTTCACACCCTCGGAAATACGACTAACTGTCCTTAAACTAATTTTTAAAGCAGCAGCAACACGCTACAAAAAATGAAATAAAATTTCACTATTATTAATATACATTACATATAATTATTAGTAACCTACCTCTTGAACAGCATTTAAAGGCAACAAAGGCCCGTTGTTGTCCCGTTCTTGCTCAAAGTAGTGCATTAACGAGGCCGCGAGTTCCTTACACCGACTATTTAACTGTTTGGGCATCTTTATATACCAAAATTGCCTTTATCTACTCGTAAAATGAATAATTTTGTTTTGAAACAAACAGTTGTTGATTTACAGTATGCGGGGCCAAAGGATTTATAAAGTTTTGAAATGCCACAAATTGATTCAGTGTCAAAATTAATACAAATGTCAGTTCCCAGTTTAAATAAGTTTCAAGGTGACAATGTGTCAACGCTGCGAAATCGGTTTAGTGCGTTTACATGTCGATAAGTGATTGGAGCGTTTGCAAAACATTTTATTTCGCATAATGCGTCTAAATTTATCAGAAAGCAACTTATGTGATATTTTAATAACAATGTTTATATGACTATTAACCATAATAAGAGAGTAATGACCATTTTACAATTTATATATCACATTAATATGAAACTGCAATAGAGCAATTGTTTGTGATAGAAACCTAGGCATTAGGTCGGGGAATTTTTATCGTGATGACGTGCACGCCACTTTGTTTGGCGTTGACTATAAAGTTTCAGTTTTTATTTCCCGTGCATGAGGCAAGTATTGTGTTCGGAAAATTTAGATATTTTTTTTATTTTTCACTGTGCCACGCAAAGTCAGCATTCCTGTCGTTTTGTATGTCTGTTAGCGTTTCTCAGCCATGTAATCTTAAAAATACCTGCACTAATTCAGGTAAAATTTGACAGTCGCAATAATCCTAGGACGAAAAGTGTCAATAGGTCCTAGAATTTCCCTTTATCTGATATACAGGATGTTGAAGTCGTGATTTCAAAATCAAATAAAAGTCTATCACTGTAATCGATAAAGATGAATAGTAGCTGTAGTTTGACCGCTATAGAAGAAGAAAAAAGTATTTACTGCGGCACTAAGTTTCGTAAAAAGGCTTTCAATTTAAATTGAATAATTTCTCTTATAAGATTATTCCTTTTGGAGTATATTACTTCGAATATTTGTGGTTGAATAAATATAATTATAATTAAATCCGTTCTACTTTTGAAAATGCACTTTCAGTAAAGAGTTTTGGCAATAGCAAATAATACCACGTATGTAAACGCTCAGACCCGTCGATTTTGTTTTCGAGGGGGAGACAAGTTTGGCAAAAAATCACGTTAACACGTGCAGCCCCCTGGGCGGGGGTGACACCAACCCTAAAATCTTAAATGGAAAGGGGGGTCGAGTGATACCTTATTTTAAAGGTCTTTCAATTCCCTTTATAATGATGTAAAATACATGAGCTTCAGTTCAGTAGTTTTGAAGATTTATTGATTTAAAGATTAAAGTAGACTTTAATAGGTACATCAGATTAGTTTGTACTACTTTCAGAAGAAATTTGACTAAAAGGATTTACTTAATAAGTAAATTCTTTTCTTCACTACGTCCATGGTTTGTTTATCATTTTGTTGTTGAAAATAGCTATTGGAGCGTTTTTTTGTGGCAAAAAAGTTATTTCTTGAGGAAAGATAAAGAAATATCTCGTACTTATTTTAAATAGGAATATAGTACATAGTTTGCGATTGATTTGATCAAACTTTGTTGCTAAAATAACTTGTAACGCTTTGTTACATAAATTAACGATGGTATATTCCACAGCCGAAAGAGTTGAAATTATCGAAATATTTTTCGGAAATAATCAGTGCTCTAATAGAACAGCAGAAATATTTAATGAGCGTCATGAGAACAGTAACGTGCATCGAAAATCTGTTCTAGAACTTGTAGCTAAATTTCGGGAAACTGGGTCAGTCGCTAATAAAAAACGCAACATTGAAAATCCCATAAGGAACGAAGCAATAGAAGTGGGGGTTTAAGGGCAAGTTTATGTAGATCCTACGTTAAGTACCCGCAAATTGGAGACTGTGTGTGGTGTTAGTCGACGTACTGTCCAACGGATTCTAAAGGCCCATAGTTTTCATCCGTATAAAATTCACCTGGTGGAAGAACTTAATGAAGACGATTACAATTTTGTGAAGATATGAGTGACCGAATTATAAACGATGAAAATTTTCTATTCAGCACTTGCTTTTCCGACGAATGTTCCTTTTTCTTAAATGGCGTAGTAAATCGTCATAACTGCCAATATTGGTCCGATTGTAATCCCAGAATTTATCATGAGGTTCATACACACCAGCCACAAAAATTAAATGTTGGGGCTGGTATTTTTGGCGATCATTTAGTTGGTCCTTTTTTCTTACCTGGAAATTTGACCGGTGAAAATCGTTTTTCCAAAAAAAAAAACAGCTGTCAGTAAATGCGTCTGTTTCGTTTTCGATGCGCTACCCCTGTATATGTTCTTACGCTGTATCGTGGCGAGATGCATTTTCTACTCTAGAAACATTGCCATTATTTTTTTAATAAACCTATGTAATACTTACATAATACTATTGCTATGTTATGTCTGATGTCTATGATCTGAGTTATATTGCACGTAGAATCTATTTCAGTGGGTCTGTCGAGATGAACGACCAATCTTCTATGGGTTCAGCTACCACTCCCCAATCAAGGGCTGTCTCCGTTGAAGCCGAGAACAGAACTGGGTCATTGTCCAGCGATGAAGGAGTGCAACCCATACCTCCAGATGGTCATCGAGCCCAGCCGTCGACGTCTGGGCAGGCATCAGGTAAGGGTAAGTTCACACCTCTGAATATTATTGATTCGTAGCCAATTTCATAATAATACTTTCGTACAATTTTAGAACAAGATATTACAAACCGCTTCCAAATCCAAGATAGAGTAGATCTAGACACATCTAAATAGTTAGACAGGGTCGTATTCAGAACCGTCACGACATAAATATACTGAGTGACATATAAATCCGAACACCCAGTTTAAATGGTTGGTATAAAATTTTGTATAAGTACTTAATGAAGCATAATAAGTAAATGATAAAAATTTCAAAATGTTTGCACTGCTTTAAAGCCCTTTGACCTTTAATAATGTGTGGATGCACCCTGATGTGCTACGCATTCTCCAACGCGCCTAGGCATGCTTCTGATCAGGTGGTCAATGTCCTCCTGTGGTATCTCATTCCAGGCAACCACCAACTCCTCTCGAAGTGCTTCTAGAGTCTGAGGAGGACGTTGCAAAATGAGCAATCTCCTATCACACACGTGCTCAATTGGGGATAAGTCGGGAGATCTTGGTGGCCATGGTAACAATGTGACATCATTATGTTGAAAGAAGTCTATTGTGACTCTTGCAACATGTGGTCGGGCATTATCTTGTTGGAAAGTTGCCAGGGTGTCAAGATAGGGTAAAAGATGGGGTTCTAGAACTTCGTGGATATAACGCTGCACGTTCATGTTACCTCTGATGAAGATTAAAGGTGACCTGGAACCATAAGCTATACCACCCCAAAACCATAACTCCAACAGTGTGATGAACATGTCTTTCAACAAAAAACTGTGGATTCCTCCTTTCATCACGTCGCCTTCTAACCCTGGCACGACCATCGTGCATGCCTAAACAAAATCGAGACTCGTCACTAAAGACAATACTGTTCCATTCCTGATCCCAGAGTGACCGTTGTCTGCACCACTCAAGGCGATTACGTCGGTGTTCTCGAGTTAAAGGGAGGACCCAGTGTGGCCGGTATGAAAACAAGCCAAAACTTCTCATTCGTCGGTAAATACTTCGCATGCCAATAGGTCTTCCGTGTTCTGCAAACCATTCATTTGCAATGGACCTGGTAGTGGAGAAACGGTCCCTTAAGGCGATCTTCACGGTCTGTTGCTCTACGGCGGCGTCCAGTGCCCCTTGCTCTTTGCGTACGGCCTTCTCGAAGCCATGCCCGACAACACCTAACCACAGTGTCTACATTTCTTTGCACTCTAACTGCAATTGCCCGAAAAGAAAGTCCAGCTTCCCGAAGTCCCACTATACGGCCCCTATCAAACTCACTAAGTTGACGAAATCGTACAGGTCTCCGTACTCTAGGCATCGTAACCGATCGTAAAGGATGTCAAGAACCAAAATCCGCCAACGTTGATTCTTTACTGCAGCTGAAATATTCATTTTTAGAGCGTTAGTGAATTAAAAAAAAGCAGTATAAAAACCGGAATGTCCAACTGATAAGGCTTAAAATTTTTTCACTTGTTATTTACAGTAAGATAAATACATTCACCAACTTTTATTAAAATAAAACCATTTAAACTGGGTGTTCGGATTTATATGTCACTTAGTATATATTAGTTTAATAAACTAATAGTCTTTCAAGAAAAATGCAGCTAATATGTGTGGTATAAAAACATTTTCATTTTAATTTTGGAATACTGAACGATGAATGCCACGCAAACTCCTGATTACACTGGTCAACAAAATTTTAACTTTGTCGTGCCACACGGACTTTTTTGATATTTTTTACTTTAATTGGTGATTGTAAGAAAAAATAAACAGTTAAAAAAAATTTGCTAGACAAGGATTTTATTCTATTGAGTAATTTAAAATATTAAGAAAAAACACAGATCTCGTAAATCAAAAGTTATTTTTTTTATAAATGACTTAATAATCTAAGATTTTCTTGAATATTTAGCTTCTGGTTGGGCCCTTTTAATTGTCCAGCAGTAATCTGCTAACATATTTGGGCTCCATTTGCCCTGGTACCGCTTTTCCATATTAGAAATGTCCTGATGGAACCTCTCACCGTGCTCGTCGCTCTCAGCCCCTAAATTGTCTGGAAAAAAAGCCAGGTGCGAGTCTAAAAAATGGATCTTAAGTGACATGTTGCAACCCAATGCTTGATATGACAATAATAGCTCGCTAACCAACTCTCTGTAGCTGTCACTCTTGTGGTTACCCAAAAAATTTGAAACAACATTTTTAAAAGCCTTCCATGCAGATGTTTCTAAATCACTTAATTTTTCTTCAAATCTTGAATCTTTTATTAACTCCCTAATTTGAGGGCCAACAAAAATACCCTCTTTTATCTTTGCATCACTTATTTTAGGGAATTTTTCTTTTAGATACAAAAATCCACTCCCATTGCGATCCATTGCCTTCACAAAATTTTTTATTAATCCTAATTTGATATGAAATGGTGGTAGAAGCACATTATTTGGCTGTACAAGGGGTAAATACTTTACGTTTTTTTGTCCAGGAACTAACGATGCACGCGTAGGCCATGTTTTTTTTATATAGTGACCAGTTCTGTCTCAGTCTATCCCATTCACATAAAAAGCAGCAAAACTTTGTATAACCCAGCTGAAGTCCAAGTAATAGTGCAACAACTTTAAGATCACCGCAGATTTTGAAGGAATATGTACTGTAATTTATTTTTTCAAGTAAAAGTTTCATATTTTCATAGGTTTCTTTCATATTTGCAGCATGGGTCAGAGGAACAGACGGAAGCTTATTTCCATTATGCAATAACACTGCTTTTAGACTTGCTTTCGAAGAATCAATGAATAAACGCCACTGAGAGAGATCAAAATCTATGTCCAAGATTTTTATAATCTCATTTATCTTATTGCAAAAAACCAAATCTCCATCCTGAGAAAAATACGTTCTGAAGTGTTGATCACGGTTTCGAAAATAGCTAACTTTTGTATTATGATGTAGCAAATTCCATTCTTTTAGACGTGATCCTAATAGTTCTGACTGCTTTTTTGACAAATTTAAATCCCGAACCAAATCATTTAGGTCTCCTTGAGTTATCAAATGTGGCTCGTTTACAATTCCTTTTAACTCAAGTCATCGTCCTCGTCAACACATTCACCTGAAGTGGACGGTTGTGAATTGTTCTCAACAGACGTAGTTGCAACTGGTATTCGTTCTGGCAATTTTTTATAATGAGAGACTAGTCTTATAGCCGAAGATAAGTTAGGGTAAATAACTGTGTTTTTTTTTGTAATTTATACCTTTTATGTCTGTGAGACAAAAATAGCAATCTGAAACGTGATCTCGCTGTTCAGTCCATATCATGGGTACAGCAAACGGCATAGGTCGTGCACCTTTCTTCCAGTCAGTTAAATTTTTCACACACGTTATGCAACAGACATGAGGGGCCCAGGATTTGTCTTGGTGGGCGACAGAAAAACCAAAACATTGGTGATAACACTCCAACACAAGATTCGTAAAATTTCGTCGTTGTTCTTTGAATGTTAGTTCTCCGCAGACATAACAAAAAGAGTTAGGATCATTATTACACTTCCTCGACATATTCACAGGGTTAATAAATCACAAAAAAGTGTTCAAACTGAACAACAAATATTTTTATAAGGATTTACTTGTAAGCGTTTCTGTTAATTTACTGCCGTAATACTAGTTATGAGTATTACCGTACCACAACAAATATGAGGCTAATAGACATATGACAGCTGTCATGTAATAATGAGGGTAGACTGATAAAACAAAATTAGATGTCAAAGTTCTTGTGGCAAAACCAGTGTTGACCAGTGTTACCGCACCGTGTTGGTGCCAGTGGCGGAGAACGAAGCTATCGATTTGAAAAAAGGCGTCAAGTAGATTGACTCTATAACTTTTTCGAGACGTATATAATATCCAAAAAACATAATATATCCCAATTTTTTGCGATTACGATAATTAATCCCAAGCTCTGACAGAAGCAGTAAAAAGTTCACCAATGAGCGCTGCTCTGTTCACCTGTTGCCGAGCGATCGCTTGAACTTGGATTTGGATATGGCTTAGACTATACTTCATAACTAACTCATTTTTGGAATCCTAGGTCCCAGTAAAACCCCTTCGTTCAAGAACAGACTGCTCCACAAAACGCCCAACACGTTGAGTGTGCAGCCTTACGGAAGCCTCGGACAAAGCCTGCCCAACCTGACGTTAGGTTCACCGAATGTAGGCGTATCCCCTGGCGGTGTCAGTTTCAGCCAGAATACGCTGAGCGTACCTGGAAAAAATAGTTCTCAGTTGCTCAGTCCTACGCACAGGGGTAAGTGGTTAATTCAGTAGACGCAATAACTGCATGCTATACCGTAACTCGACTTCCTAGAAAGTGTGCTGCTTTTTTGGGCGAATTTTTGTTACCTTGAGCGCTCGAAACACGCTACGAGAAGCAGCCACTGGCTGACGATGCATAGTCATCCGCGGATTCCACGTGTTAAATAATCCATTTTTCCTTGGCAGTCGAAGTGAAAATGAGCTGCTGAAATGATACCATAACTCTAGAAGATGACGTCACTCGGAGATAACTGTTCCCCTTGTCGGTAGGAAATGCTATCATAGCGTTTTCTTTTATTATTTTTTATTATATGGATTATTTATAATCATTTTATTATTATATAGAATGTTTTATTTATATTTGAATGTTTCTGCCAATAGAATTTAATGAAGTATAACATTATACAAATAGGTAGAATCAAAATTATCTTATAAAGTGATCATCTTTGAAAAATGGACGCTAGAGTTTTACGGTTTCGAATAGTTCAAGATTCAATAATTGAAAATACACCTGTAGCTTTTCAAACTAAAATCTCTTTAGAGCTCCAAATGAAGATACTTTTTTATCGAAACTGTCACGTGTCAAAATCACGTAACATTTTTTTTACTTTTTTGATCACTTACTAGTAATTTGAATTCCTCTTTATTAATGGTAGAGTGCCCATTCCTAGGCCCAACCCTTTTCATTGATTTTTTTTTTTGGTAAATTTCATAGTTTATTGATTGTATAATTTTACTCGGTTTGGGTGCTACCTCGTCCATTTTCTATGGGATTTTAATCTTCAGCGTGGGACGGCATTACGGAGAACCACCACACACTCCTCCAGCTTTGTTTGTAGCTGTTTTACAGTTGATATTGCCTTGACAAAAAAAGTTGCCTGCCTCGTTCTCCAACATTTACGGTATAACCATAAAAAACCCTAGAGAGAGAAAAACTGCTTAAAAATCTACCCCCCACTCTTTCTGAGACAAAACTACTCATTGAAAACACTCAAACTTGAAGAAAAACCATGTACATTTTTTTATCTTTGCTCTGCTTTTTGTCGTCAAGGGCAAGAGGCGGCTTCCGGCAATATCAGCTGCAAAACAGCTACAAACAAAGCTGGAAGAGTGTGTGGTGGTTCTCCGCAATGCCTTCCCTCTCTAAAGATTAAAATCCCGTAAGAAAATGGACGGGGTAGCACCCAAACCAAAACAACTAAACGTAAGGTACAATAAGAAGGGGTACTACTCCACAAACTAATTCGGTACCTAATATCCCAGAATCTGGAGGTTAAACAAATGGCGCTCGGACCGCATTTTCAGCAGGAAAGTGTTTTTTTTTTCAACACAATACTGAATCACTGAGAATGATATAATACGTGTGAAACTATACAATCAATACACTATGAAATTTACCCAAAAAAAATCATTGACATAGGTCTGTGCTAGGAATGGGCACTCTACCATTAATAAAGAGGAATTAAAATTACTAGAAAGTGATAAAAATAGTAAAAAAAGGTTACGAGATTTTGGCACGTGACACAGTTTGATTTTAAATAATACCTTTGAGCATCAGTAACATATATTAATTTGTCATATTACTTTTTAATACGAGTACATAAAAAGAATAGAGAACCAAGTACTGTATATATGACATCTTCATAGGTTTTTATAAATGCTGTGTCTTCATCATTTTTTAATCTTTTTTTTATGGCTGGTAATAATCTTGAAAGTATTTTGAGAGTAGATCCATCTGAGGGATTAGACATTGTTTTGGGGGGGCGGGAAGGATTTATCACTAGTAGGATCCCCATCTAAAAGGGTAACGGCAATTGAAAATTGAAGAGCGCAGGGGGACTCATCTGCAAATTGAAAAACATTTTCCATTTTTTTTTAAATTCGGGTATTTCTGGGGGTAGATGTCAATAAAAAAAATTTATATTGGTAAACCGTTTTATTGAATTTATAAATTTCTCCATATTTAGCCTGTTTTTATTCGAATGCCGTGAGAAGTATGTGCCCTTAATAATTACACCAAGTGAAGGGAAACGTCTCTGCTTTTTTGTTATTGTTGCTTGAACAACCTACCACCTCACAATACACCATATTTAAATGTTTAATTCATTATTTTAATTATATTTCACACACCAGATAACAAACTAATGAAACTAAACTGAACGGTTGACGGTTGTCTCCCGTCTTGGGGAATTTTGTCACCGAGTGACGTCACGCATGCGCGTGGGTTTATGCCCGAATTGAAGTATCATTAGCTGCTGAGAGATGAGATACTCTTCATAATGAGACGTGTGCGCGTTATACGATGCTTGAACCCAGAAAGTCATCAGGGCAAATACTATTGAGCTTTTTTCTTTCTAGGTATATCATACCCGCCCCCCTCTCCTACGCGGGGCAACTTGAGGCGCAGCCTGGCAATATCGACCAATAAGAATCCACCGTTGATAAAAACGCGACAAGTGAATTCAGCCAGTGCTAGCGTCAGTCAACAAAACCCCGCCAGTTTTGATTTTGACGTACCAGTGATAGCAGGTGAGTGTTTGACTCTTAGTGGAATTTCTATATTGTAAATATGAACATGTAAAGTGTACAAAAGTATTTCAAAATTTATAATTCACAAGTTTTTGATCATTTTAGTATCTAGTTAAAAAATTTAATTTTTGAAATCTGGATACTTATTCATCACATGTGTTTCAGTCTGTCTTTTTTTCAGTATTGTGTAACTCAGTCCATTGTTTTAATAAAACTAGGACATTGAAAGTAGAATAATCAACAGCAGACAAAAAATTCCAAGAGAAGCTTCTTATTCCGAATTTTTTAGTGTTTCTGAAAATCAGTTTTTATTGATAATTTTAATATTCAATATGAAAAATTAATAGAATTTAATTTTTCTATACTAGCGTTTTAAATTCGTCTCTCGCAATTGGGATCTCAGAAATGGTTCGAGATACGAATTCGGTTAAATTGGGACAAAGTTGCGTGCTTAGGTTACTAAGAAAATGGCACAAATTTCGCAATTCCGGAGACAAAAGAAACCGATTTTCCCATTATTGTTTTTATATTTCCCTGATTTTATTTGAAATGGAAGTTAAAAGTAGAAAATACATTTGCTTTTTCTCTTCTACAAGGTTTCTTAATTACAATTTCAGTTTAACGATTTATCTCTTGTCTGTAATTAACTTTTCTTATGGACGCCATATTGGACTTTTGCACAGGTGAACGAAATTTTTCATTTGGATTCAAAAGATGTATAATATGTCCTACATTGGTAGTGTCAAACCTTCAAGTTATTTCAAAAAAACTAATAATTTGCTTTGAAAAGTTTATCCAATGCTCCATATTCCGAGAAGCATGCTTCAAGGACATATTTGCCCATTTGTCGACTATAGCAATCGTAAATTAAGCGTATTTGTATACAAATTATGTGCATCGGTTTAGATATGGCTGATATAAAATGTATTTAGGAAGCTGCAACGTCGTCGAGGCTTTTATTTACTCTGTAATTTTTCTATCAGTGACACAAAATAATAGTTCACAATGTTTTCAATCCCTCAAGTTATAAAAAAAGGTTTTGGCATTATGTTGTTTTATTCGAAGATTACTTTTTTTAGACATTTGAAGTTTTATATCAACCCATCTCATAGTTTGCTCAATGTAGCATGATCAAAATCGGAAATAGGGACTGTTCACCTATTCCTGGATCATAAAAACTGCTTATCTGATATTATGATTATCGGATAATTTCAAAGCTTACTTAGTAAATTCCTTTTTTCAAATCACTGAGGTTTAACAACGACAATGTGTGACATATTATACATTTTTGCAAACAGAATTGAAAACTCCGTTCACATGTGCAGAAATCATTGGATGGCGTCTATAAAAAAAATAAAGTTGTTGATTGAGATCAAAGATCGAAACGTTACATTGAAAGTATAATTATACCAACTTGTAGAGGAGAAAAAGTGTCTCGGTCAATGTACTTTTTATTTTTAAATCCCATCTCAAATAAATTAAGGAAAAAATAAAAACGATTTTGCTTCTATGTGCTATTTCCTTAAATGCGCAAGTTTACCCGAATTTACCCAACTTCATATCCCTTACTGTGTTCAAGACCTCAATGGTGAGTCAGATTTGAAACATCCGGCTTAGTGCAAAGACATTCTATTTAAGGGCAGTGAGCACCAACCGACAGCATTCAAAACTAAGTTAGTATGTTGCTGAAAATATTTTAAATTGGCGATGTCTGAGGTTCTGTGTTAAAATCATGTGATAATATCCTTAATACTGAAACAACACAATTCTGCTACATTCGTATACGGCACCAATTTTACCTCTGATTTCATATATTTCCAGCAACAAACTTAGTTATCCTCTCGATTGGTGCTCACCACCCTAAGTTATATTATACACTACTTGAATGTCGTTTCCGGTCAATATGTTTTGTTCCATAATGTTTCATTGGAAATATGTTTCAAGAACTCCTGTCCATACTAAGAACAAGACAAATATCTGATGGTATAATATGATATGCCAATCGAATTAGTACTCATTTATATTTGGTTCGTGAAACATGTTTCAAATAATAGAAGTTCTAAAATTTAATAATTACGAAGCTGTGGTATACATGTGTAACATTCTTTTGTATGAGCAGCAACAGCAACTGCAACCTGCCAAAATATTAATTTCCATGTTACTTCCTACTAGCGTGGAAGTATTGTAATCACGAAAAATTTTTTAAATGTTTTTTGGATGTTATGTGACATGTACAGCGTGCGCCGTCTTTTATGTCAGTATGTAAACATGAAATAACTTTGAAAACGAAAAACTGATTTCTATATATCGGGTATTTTTATTAAATATGGTCCTTTATAATTTATTGGGACTGGTTTTTGAACACAACATCTATCAAGTAAGTGGCCACCTTTATTGGCCAAAACAGAATAATATTATAATATTTTTGAACGACCAAAATGCGTTCTTGCGTTCTTAAAGAATCCATAATGACAAATGGCAGACCTTTGACAGTTCATATGTGCTAAACACATGACAGTTGACAGATTTAACATGTCAAAAAATGGTAGTTGAAAAAAGAAGCAATAGATGGAACACACTATATTTCTTCGTTCATGACGTTCGCTACTCAGTATACAAACATTTTATATCCTGGTATTAACCAGACAAACTCAAATGAATGCAATTGAAAGCACTTTCAAATATTTCGGAATATAAAGCTTATAGAGCGAGAGCCCATCGCAAAAAAGCGGTACAATCGAGTAACCAGATGAAATCTACAGGGTGACTTTGAAGTTGAGTCATTAATTTTCAGATAATGATTGTAGAAGGAAGATAAACCAAAATATGTGTGTAAAAATAAAAAAAAATAAAAAAAAAATGTTACCTTGTTTTATAAAGTATCCTCCCGACAATTATTTCACTGCGGACCTGTATTTGATCGTGCGGTCTTGGAGCACCGGCATGCCCTCCCCTGAGAGGTCTTAAGTCACCTGATTCACGAGCCCTTTGTACTACATTAACAAAGGCACGAGGGGTTGGTTGCACTCGATTGGGAAACCGATCCGCATAAATCCGTGATGCCGCGTAAATAAGAATCATGTCCACAAGTTCAGCATTTTCGTAAACATGTGCCATTTTTGATTTCGTTTGAGCCACGCAGCAGACACCACTATTCACGCACGCGTTACCGACTGACACTGACTGAATACAACTGAATAAAATAATTGTAAAAACATCGTTCCAAATTCTTTCGCTTTTTTGTTTCCGATGCGATGAACCGATAAGGCGGATTATATCCGTTGTTGCCAAACACGAGCACATAATATTATTATCGAGACAGGGCGGTACTCAAACTTCCAAAGGGCTATAACTTTGTTACTTTAATTTTACCAGAAAAATGGTAAAGGAAAAAAACATTTCTTTTGATCAGATCTACTCACTGTTAAAATAAATGACTCGAAGTCAGTATATTGAATAGTACGTAATTATTCAAAAAATCATATAGTGCCTGAACGAAACTGGTGTACAGGACTAGTGTGTCCTTCTTATAGGACTTTTTTGCAAAGGAAATGTACCTATCGAGATACTGCTTTAACCTGAGCTTGAAATTTACAATTCAATATGTAAACAAATAATATACAGAGACCACATTTTTTGTCGACAAAAGGGAGGTGAAATTTGAATTAACGATGCACACAAAGGCAAGCTAAATGAAATCAATTAGAATCGCTTACGCACAGATGGCGTCGTCCTTTATCGACTTGTTTATGTTAGTGAACTGTGTAATTACTTATATCTACTTTTTGCATATGTCGTACAGAAAGCGCTGTTTACATAAATCGATTAAAGTGGTTTATACAGGGTGTTCCTTAATGATATGCAGATATTTAAGGGTGTGAATCTACATGAAAAATTAAGCTTAGTTTGCTTTATAAACTATGCTCAAAAAATGTCGGGGTGTTGAAGTTTTAGGAAAAAAATGGAAATTAATTAATATTTTTAGAACCGCTTCAGATATTTCACTGATATTTAGTACGTAGTGAAAGTTAATAAAGTTGCACATTTTTCAATGCAAAAATAATTTATAGCTTTAACAGTGCCGTGCGTACGGGTATTGATTTCGATATTTTTTAAGAAACAAATGGTACGCCAATGGTTTTTTACAAATAAAAATTATTTTTGATTTCCCCGTTCAATTTAAAACAAATGGTATCTCTTGAATTGTTTTCCTTTGATGCGCCATTTTTGAGTAAAAAAAATATTGTCTAACTTGCAAAATTATTATTAATTTAATTGGAAAAATTAAGCACATTAGGGGTAATGAACAACAACAACTGACAACATAAACATAACATTAAAACCAACGAAATGATTTTTTTGAAGATACCACTGACAAAAGGTCACACGCCTTGGAAGATCAATGGGAAGTAATGCCTGTACTCTTAAAATATGGTAAGAATCCACTAAAATACTCCAAACAATTTGATGGCAAATATTTAAGTGTCTAGCGATCTTCCTCGTACTCGTTTCAGGATGTTCTTAGACTTCGTGCAGCACTGCTTCCTCAATTTCAGGTGTTCTCACACTTAGAGGTCTACCTTCAGATGTTCCTTTTCGGACAGAACCAGTTTCAACAAGACGACGAGGAATATTAGAAAAGGTTCGACTATCTGGCAAAGCACGATCGGGATATCTCTGGTGATAAATCCGTCTGGCTTGCTCACCATTACCGTCGGCAAGGCCATATACGTAATGCATTTCCGCCATTTCTGCATTTGAATAATTCACCATTATTAACAAGAGTGTAAAAACTAAATAATGAAAAAGATGTCACAGCGAACAGATGTGAATAACTGAGACTTGTCAGATGTCAAAAGCCAGTGACATATTCCAGAGCAACTAGATATTTATTGCTAAATTGCATTCCTAAATTATTACATTAATTTTCTCGGACAATACAGCGGTCTTTATTTTTTTACTCAAAAATGGCGAATCCAAGAAAAACAATTCAAGAGAGA